CGGTGCTCATCTTATCCTAAGCACCGATGAGTTGGCACATTAATTCATTGGTGGAAAAAGATTTTGTGAGTTCCAATCCACCAATGAATTAATATGCCAACTCATTGGTATTTAGGATAAGATGAGCACCGGTGCTCATTAGATCATTTCTCTTATATATATATAGCAAGGTTCATAGAAAAAATAAAATAAATGAATGTGTATTCAGAGTATTGCGATCTTTTCCCTTTACCCGAAGTTAAAGACATACCAGTTGAAACCATTTCTGCTCTGCTCACAATTTCCCGAGAGAAAAAGACGGCAGCTTTTTATAACCACACATGGCCCCACATCTCACCTCAGCTATTCTGCTCTCGATCTCTATATATGCATCCCTCCGCTTACCCAGAGTCCCCCAACCGCCATACTCATTTCAGCTACCTCATTTAGAGGAAGAAATCTCCTTCCTCCGCCATACATTTACGTAAAACTTAAATGGAAAACCTTCGCCTCCGCACACGAGTCCTCCTACTAGCGCTCACAAATTTCCTCATATCAGGTGAATTGGGGTTTTTTTTCTATATAATTGAAGTGCAGACAGTACTGAACATGATTATTCGTCTTGTCCACTACTGTATATTACAAACTGTTTAAAGAATTTTGTATGTTTTTTATGTGATTTAACCTTTTATTCTTATTATTTTGTCATTCAGAAGTGTATTCATCAGCCACATTTACAATAGTAAACAAGTGTGAGTACACAGTTTGGCCAGGCATTTTATCGAACGCCGGGATTGCACCACTTCCTACCACCGGTTTTGCTCTGCAAAAGGGCGAGTCAAAAACCATGGCGGCGCCGTCTTCGTGGGGTGGCCGCTTCTGGGGTAGGACACACTGCAGTGAGGACTCAGCAGGCAATTTCTCTTGTGTTACAGGCGATTGTGGTTCCGGGAAGTTGGAATGCTCTGGCGGTGGAGCTTCTCCTCCGGCTACCCTGGCCGAATTCAAAATCGACGGAGACGGCGGCAAGGACTTCTATGACGTCAGCCTTGTAGATGGGTACAACATTCCAATGCTTGTAGTCCCCCAGGGTGGGTCAGGGGATAACTGTACAACCACGGGATGCGTGGTCGACATGAACGGCGCGTGCCCCTCCGAACTCCGCGTGACGAGCGTGGGCGGTGAGAGAGTGGCTTGCAAGAGCGCGTGCGAGGCTTTCGGTAAAGAGCAGTTCTGCTGCAGCGGTGCGTATGGTACACCCGATAGCTGCAAGCCCTCGTCGTACTCGCAAATGTTCAAGAATGCGTGTCCACGAGCCTACAGCTATGCTTACGATGACAAGTCTAGTACCTTCACATGCACCGGGGCCGATTATTTGATAACGTTCTGCCCATCCCCAAGTGCAAGGTAAATTTACTAATATACCCATGCGTAACCTAATTTTTAGTCAGTTTAGCATGGGTAGTTTTGTCCATTATGTGATTCATTAAATCCCTCTATTTAAAGTTCCACTATTAACCTAACCTGAGTGACTACACGATGTAGTTTCGTCCACTCAGTAATTCATTACGTCCAAGTAATTTAGAGCACAATATCTTCAATCCTCGTTATTCCAATGGTACACAGTATTGAATAGAATTGAAATAGTTAAGAAATAGTAATATATTGAAAAGAAAATTTATGAGTTTAGAATGTCTAAGAACATCTACAAGAAACTCTTTAAACATAAAATGTTTTTTATTTTAAAGAGTCAACATTTAAAATCATGTTATAAGAGACTTTTTAATTAATATTTTAATTAGAGAGTGTGTTTGACTCTCCGAGTGTGTTTGACTCCAAATTTGGAGAGTCAAACCCGCTCTAAAAAGCCAAATCACTATTTATAATTAAATGTATTTAAAGTGTTTCAATTTTTAATGTAGAAAAACAATAAAATAATCTAAAGAAAAATAATTAAAATAAAAGATAAACAAAAATAATAACTATTTTTTGGGAGCTTGTTGGAGTACTTTAAAATTTTAACTCTCTAAATTTATAGATGCTCTTCAAATGATAAAATATACTCTTTAAAAGTAGATAATCTATTGGAGATGCCCTAATACTTTAAAAAATGATAGATCAAAATAAACTAGACCTATTACGAAGAACCGTGCGCTATGAAAATTAATGAATTCTTAAGCATTTAAAATTAATTAATGAAAATTAATGTGGATCGAACATGAGGTTAACTTGAGAATTTTCTTTAGATCAAATTTCTGATTTAATATTGTTCTACTGCAGTCAGAAATCATCATCGGGTGAGGAAGACCCGGGATCCGGATCTGAGGAGAGCAACACTTCACCATTGGACAACAGTTCAATGGTGTACGAAGGAGCGATGGAGTTGAGTGCAGCACCGTCGACGGGCATGGACGTGGTTAAGCGGCAGGCGGTGGCCAGTGCTGTTGCCATCACGGCAGCCATGTGGCGACTGTGTCAGCCATTTTAACTTTTTCTATTACTTTTTATCTGGATCATCCACTAGTCCACTACCACTCATTGTGGGCCCATTGGAACTTGTCGGATCTTAGGTTTGTGCGTCAGATGTGGTCCAGCCCTTTCGTCTCATGGGCCTTGTGATGTTCAAGTGGCCTATGAATATGGCCCATGTGACGAGGAAATGAGCCACCTTGAAAAGCATAGAAAAAGGATGAAGCGACATAAAATAGCTAGAAAGTTGATACGCATCACAAGATAAGAGGCGGTGGGTGAGAATTTTTTATATTTACGATTTCTTATTTTATTATTTTTATTAGACAGCTATTTAATAAGTTAGAACAATATAATACTCTAATATAGTTGAAAGTAGCAAAAATGAAAGGCATTTTTCATTTCTACGTTTTCGAAATATTCTTCCATATTCCGAGTTTCCGACTATTAATGTGAAGTTCATACTACCTTCGACGGATTGGTAGGATAATTTATATTTTTATGATTGATTCAACCGATTTTTTTTAGAATAATGCTATTCGCAGTCGCTCATTAATACATTAAATCATTAATCTGGTGACTGCAGTAATGGAATGAATTGGATTAATTCAAAATGACAAAAGAACCTAGCAACAAAAGGGCCCTGAAAAAGAAGGGTTGGCGTCACTCGATTGGTGGGTGAAAGGGATGTCGAATATAATTTTTTTGTTTCTGTATTTTTGTCAAGAAATGAGAAAGTGGGTCAAGAAAGTAGTTTGTTTTGTACTAAATATTGAATTATCAAATAATTAGATAATGTAAATTAAGCAATAGGGTCTAATGATAAGTGGGGTTGGGGTCTGCTTGCACCTGAATAGGTAGCGACTTCCCAACAACTGAGCATGACTTACAATTATTAGCTTCATAAAGTTATTTTCTCTCCCACTATTGTAGGGGACAACTACAAATCGCTCTCTATGCATTAATGTTTGAACAACACATAAAATTAGAAAAATTACTAATTGTCAAGAATTAAGGAACAAGTGTGTATTAGTCTGGACTGAAATGACCAACAAAATTCATGCTCAATTCAGTATTTAGACCCACTGCTCTTACAATTGTACCCAATAATTTGAAGAGAGAAATGTTTACTTTTCAAGAGATTTTTAAGATGTCGCAATCATCACACGATGGCTATTTTTGAGTGTGAAATTTGTTACATCGACAGTTTTGCTAATATTTCATGATGTGAAAATCTAACCACTTGTTTGAATAAGTGATCAATAGTCAAATTATTTATACATCAAGAAATGTCAATCAAAATTTTCAACATGAACGTCAAAGCAAGATTTCCCTTTGCATGTTGCATTATATTCAATATTTTGATCATGGACTATTAAGACATCTTGATTATGATTATTAGACCATTCTGGCAAGGAGTGATACATTTTGGGTTGGATTTGGGATTTTTCGAATTCTAAAACTTGGTCCTCAAATTATATTGTATAATCATTATTCTTTTAGGAAAAATACATAATTATATTGTGCAATCAATTTCACGAGGCACGCATCCAATGCACTATATTTGAACCCTTCTAGTCAATTTTTGGCAATGGGACCACTACCAATGAACCCATAAGACAAAACCTCTGAGTCGAATTCTAAAACTTGGTCTTCATATTATATTGTACAATCATTATTTTTTTTAAGGAAAAATACATAATTATATTGTGCAGTCAATTTCGCAAGGCACGCATCCAATGCACTAGATTTGATCCCTTCTGATCAGATTTTGGCGATGGGACCACCACCAATGAACCTAGAAGACAGATGCCCTGAGTCGAATTCTAAAACATGGTCCTTAAATTATATTGTACACTCATTATTTTTTTCAAGGAATAATACATAATTATATTGTGCTATCAATTTCGCGAGGCACACATCTAATGCACTTGATTTGATCCCTTCTGATCAGATTTTGGCGATGGAATCACCACCAGTGAACCCAGAAGACAAAACCCCTCAGTCGAATTCTAAAATTTGGTCCTCAAATTATATTGTACAATCATTATTTTTTTATAGGAAAAATACATAATTATATTGTGCAATCAATTTTGCGAGGCACACATCTAATGTACTAGATTTGATCCCTTCTGGTCAGATTTTGGCGATGGTACCACCACCAGTGAACTCAGAAGACAACCCCTAAGTCGAATTCCTCAAATTATATTGTACAATCATTATTTTTTTAGGAAAAATACATAATTATATTGTACAATCAATTTCGCGAGGCACAGATCTAACGCACTAGATTTGATCCCTTCTGGTCAGAATTTGGTGATGGGACCACCACCAATGAACCCAGAAGACAAAAACCCCTGAGGTGGTGTCGCTAATATCCAGTTTGACTTAAATTTTTGTACTTGTAGAGATATAGAGCTTATTTTACAGAAGGAAAGTAATGTAGAGAGAGAGAGAGGTCAACCGCGATATTTGCAATTGAGCTTTGCGGGGGGATGGAGGGGTTGTGAGGACAGGGTAGGAGAGAGATGTATTAATAATAATATTTAAAAAATTAAATTATGACCTATTGATGCGAGAATTTTCCAACCGCAAGTGTACGGTGTCAAGTTTTAATATAGTGAGAGTAGAGTATCGTTTTCCATAGGGATTGAAATCAAATCCTAATAATTCCTGTAATTAAAATAACCTTAATTTTATTTAGAAAATAGAAATATTGGAATGAGATAACTAACTGACTAATTCAATAAATTAACAATGCAATAAAACAAGATTAACACTGATGAGCTTAAACTCTAGAGATTCAATTTCACCTAACCATCGATCATGCTTCAATTATCTAACTATTTTTTAATTTATTCTTATGGTTTATTAGTCAAGAACTCGAAATTATCTTAATCCCCTCTCTCGATGGCGAATTAAGAATTACTCTTAAAACCCTAATTTTGAGTCTCCATCTAAAATTAAGATGATAAAGTACATTTAGATCTTTGGTTTTCTTAATAACTACAAAGGATTTCATATTTTTGGGGAAAAAGAGTTTTGAAATTGTGAATTTTTTGAGACGTGTGGTTAAAAAGTAGGAAAAAATTTTGAGTTTACATATAAAATATTTTATTGTGAGAATATGCGGTTGAAAATAAGTTTGAGAAAACAAGTTTTGAAATAATGATTGTCAAACATGAGCTCAATATGTCCTCTCGTCTTTCGTATTTACTCTCTTGGTTATCATTTTCTTTTTCCCAAAGATAAACTAAACAAGTGGCGTTGGATCAATTTCTTTTCTTTTTTCTTTTTTTTTTTTGGTCCCTTCTTCTGTTTTTGGAATTTTTATGATTTTCGAAAGTAAATTTTATTTTACATTGTAAGCAACCTTCTTCCTTGACAGATTATTTCCTAAATATGTGTGTGTGTGTAACTTTTTTCTACATGCGACGGCTTGTGTAATATATTTCACATTTTTAGGCTAATGTACGAACCCAAGAATAGTAAAGTGACTGTGTTATCTAATAACCTCCAAATTTATTCTAAATGGATTTTCAATATGGTTCTAACGAGGTGATTAGTATTACATACTATAGTTTCAAAAGACCCTCATATAGTTAATTTACATAGTTAATTTAAAGTAATCCATAATTGCAACTAAGAATGAATTTGTACGCAATTTGTTCAAAATCCAAGTATAAAATAATGAAATTCAAGTAATAATTGAAAATTCGAGTGTTCACACGAGCCAATTCTTTTATCATCTTCGAAAATAGCACCAAAAACTTGATTCATTGATTCCGCAAATATACGAATCATGAGTTCATGAAATTTAATAAAGTGGATGATTGAATCTGAATATCGTTCCAATAGAGAATAATATTTACTATCAACTTTTATCCTAACCTCACTATAATCTAAATTAATGTGGTAAAATTTATCAAACCAAGATTTTATTTTATAACTATTTTACCCTAAACTAATCTAACTTTGTCTAATTAAATTACTTTGTGGAGACTTATGAGATTAAGTGGTTAGGAATTTTGATTTCACCTAGGTCAATTAACGTTCATTTAATGCAAATTCATTTAACCCTTTTTTCATACGTGACAATTAAATTAATCAATTTTAGTTAACAATCTCTCGAGCAAAACCAACTCTATTCACATGCATGGATTTACTATATCTTTATTTAAATTCACACATGTAAAAACATTCAATTTTGTGTAATTCAATCATGATTGAATAGCCTATAATCATCTCTCTATCTCTTATAATACATATGTCAACTATTGCACGTAGTAGACAAATATATTTCCTCTCGATCTCAGTATTGTCCTTAAATCAAATAATTGGTGATAAAAAAATTGAATGCAATTAAAACATAATAAGTAACTAACACATAACGAATTAGGGCTGTTCGTGGGACGATTTAGGATCGAACTGACCCAAAACGTTCTGGTATTTAATAAATAGAACCGTCAGGTCCAATTATAATTATGGAACCGTTCGGTTCAGTTCGGTTCCGTATCATAATTTATTTATTTTAATAGTTACAGTAACACAAATACAACTAATGACATTTCATTCGTAATTTTTACAAATTAAAGTAGCCAAATTCAAAAACATATAAATAACTAGCCGTCCAATAAAATTAATTCAATGCATACAAATACAAAAAAAGTAGATATTAATATTACAGCAACACTACATAAAGTAAATTCAGTCTGCCTACATAAAGAAAATGAAATATAAATTAAGTGTTATAAAAATAAAATATTTTTAAGTATTGATAATACTTACCAATTATTTGATTTAATCATTTGAAGATTTTAAATTTAATGAGCAAATTCGAATAGTCATATAGTCATAAGCAAATTAAAATGAGCTAATGGGCTTTAAAAATGATTTGAGCTTCAAAATTAAAATTATGAAATAATCTGATTTATTTAATTAATTTGCTAATTTATTTTAAAACAATAAAATAATTTAATTAATTCAATATAAAAAATAAAAAAATTTATTTAGTTTCGGTTCTTCGGTTCTTGGTCTAGACTCGAGACACGACCCAAACNTCTTGGTCTAGACCCGAGATCCGACCCAAACCCGTCGGTTCTCGATTCGAAATATAGGGAATCGTGATTTTAGTCCAATTATGATTATTTAAATTGTTGGAATTTATACTTTACTTTACAACTTGGACTTTGTTTCTTCTTTCTTGTTCTAATTGAGTCCTTAGATATTGCAATTGAGGTCCTTTAACTTTCGAAAGCGACTCTTCGA